AGCTTCAAATCACGATGGGCTAATATGCAGCATGCAAATGATTAGCTACTGGGTTTAAAAAAAAAAAGTCCATTTAAAACTTTCACCCAAAATAAACTAAAAGGACTCAGTGATGGGACAGCTGGCTTCACTTACCATTGGGTTATTGGCAGAAATGGGAGGAGAGGCAGAGGGTGAGTCTCTTCAAAGGGATGTCTCTGGGCCCCAGATTTGGGAGTCAGCAGTAAGAATTTAGCTGGGGTGGCCACAAGAGAAAACTCTCTGGGGTTTGATTTAATTTAGAATTAAGCTCAGAACAGCTCCCAAAGTACTCAGCCGCAGCAGTTTGGTGACAATTTAGTTGGAAATGAAAACAAGATGCGTTATTAAAGATGAAATAAAATTAAATAAAGGTCACTGGTCTGTAGTGGAGAGGGAGGAGGTTGGAGACAATGAGCGTTGGTGAGGAAAGCCTGTCCCGAGCCACCAGTTAGTGCTGTCACCAAAGACTAAGCCTTCCCTGACTGGTTTCTGAGGCTGCTAACTGTCTTAACACACTCTTAGCTTCTGCTGTGGAGAGGTAGAAAGCCCAGGGAGACAACAGGCACCTTGCTTCTAGCTGGATTTCTTTGGGCTCCTGGGGCCCAGTCTGAGTGCCCAATTCACACTGAATTCCAGTACAGGAGATCCTGAGAGGGCAGCCACGGTGTAGTGGGTTCCAGCGGGTCAATCTCTTCACCTCAGACTCCAGATCATCAGTCAGGAAGATGGTGTAAGGGAAGCTACATTACTGCTAAGGTAGCTGAGGCTATGTTTATTCACTGAACAGTGATGGAATCCACAAATAACAGGGCAGGGGTGGGGGGTAGGTAGTGCAAGAAGCCAGTGCTTCCAAGGTAGATTACTGATGATCTTTCTCATCCAGAGGTGTGGACTAGTGTAGTAAGGGAAGGTAGGTAAAGCAAGAGATACTGAAAATAGAGATTTGGGCCCATCCTGGTAATCCCGGAACCTGGCAGAGGTAGGTGGGTCTCTTAAGTTCCAGGCCATGCAGTAAGACCTTGAGGAAGCTGGGTCGGGGGAGAGGAAAGTGAGGGAGACAGAAAGAGAATAAGTAGGGTGAGACTAGAATGAACCAGACAGAAGTCTAATGGCAGGCACTTCATTTGAGGCCCAGAAAAAGACTGGCTGGAGTTAGTACCTGAGCTAAAGCCAGAAGGTAAGAAACCATTAGTAAAGAGATACAGCGCTAAGGGCAGAAGAGGCCCTGGAGGGAAGAAGAGTGAGAACGTTGTGGGCTGGACAGTATGTAGGCAGGGCTGTGTAAGAAGCCAATGCTCATGTCCAATTCTCATGCCGCTGTAAGAAAGTTGGGATTTACTCTAGAGGCCACAGGGAAGCCAGGAGATAACAAATTACCACAAACTTAACATCTTACAACACCTGCAGCTTTCCTGACATAAAATTAACCATCCCAACCACCCATTACAAAAGAGAGAGAGAGAGAGAGAGAGAGAGAGAGAGAGAGAGAGAGAGAGA